GTCAAAATCATTCAACCACTCGGCATCTGGAATGTTTGCCAAGTCTTTGAATCTCAAGCTTTTCCTGCTCCCGTTGATACGGATTTTCCACTCCTCAATTGTGGGCGCTGACGTCGGTGCAATGGGAGGGTTTGAAGCGATTCTGTAGCACAGACGCATCTCATACCACCCTACTTCACTGGCATCAATCCTGTCGTTCCATGCACAGTACTTGCTGTAGTAAATCAGCCCCTTCACCTCCACCTCTTTGCCATTGCGTCTGGTGTGGATTATGCCGATTGCCAACACGTACACCACAGCAACGAGTATTCCGGAAAGGAAGAATAGGCGAATAAATCTCATTTGGTAATCAGCTTCGGAAGGGAAGGTTGAGCTTCAAATCGCTGCGTTGTTTTGTTGTGAGTGCCTTATATCCAAGCGTGCCACTTTGTAGAACCCTTTGTGTGGGGGGAGCCACAACATCCACACCTCACTCTGATAGGATGATGAATTAGTGCCACTCAAATTTGCAGTTATTGCATTCGCCATTCACTGGCATTTAACAATGCGATGATTGCGTGCAAACAGGAGCAATTGATTCGTCAAAGTCACTTTTCACTGCGCCAACTAAAACACCTCAACCACTTAACTGGACCAACATTCTGCACACACACACACACAATTACACACCTTTTAAACCATCCTTACCAAGAGGAGACTGCCAGTGCGTCATTGTACTTTAAGGGAAGAGATGCAGCTGCTGTGAGTGGGATAAGACTGGTGTGGAAGTAAACTTTGAGAGGGAGGAAGTCGTGAAGGGACGGAGGGAGGGAGAGAGGGAGGAGGAAGCGACGACGTGCTTCATTGATTTGCTGCCATGCGTCAGGCTTCTTCGTCTGCCTGCTCACATCGCACACCACACACACACACGCACACACCATCAAATCTGAGCTGATCAGATGGAGAGGAAAGATTGTCACAACTACCCACAAATCACTTCTTTTGGAGACAAAAATCGTTGTTGATGAGCTTGTGCATCAACATCATCACCTGCATCATGTGAGTGTTCAAGCTGTGCTAGTGACAATTTAGAGGTGCATGAACCAATTAGGCGAAAATACTTGCGTTTGGGACAAGTCCCAACAGAGATTGCATTGAAGTTAATTCACTGTTGAAGACAAGTGAAATCATTGTGCCACATTGTGGAGTGTGCTTGGACACTCCTCTGATGGTGCATGCGATTGCCAATGGACACGCTTTTTGCCAACTTTCCTCCTCCTCCTCCTCCTCCACCGACCCCACCACCTTTCCTTCCCCTTCTCCGCCTCAACACTAAGGCGATGCCCAAACTGAAAGGAAGATTCTGTTGACGTGTTGCCCTGCATTCACTGCATCCGCTATTTTCTTGCCAAACAGTGACGTGCTTTTGGATATTCGCTTTGTCTTGTGCTGCATCTACGCACACACACGCACGCACACTCTCACTGCGAGATTGTGGGTTCACGATGGCTTGAGATGTGGTGCATTGTGAGTGGTGGAGTGAAGTCTTCCGTTGTGAAAATAAAGCATCTTAGTGGTTGCTGGAAGGTAACCGAGTGGTCATGTGGCGAAGTTAGCAACTGGGAGGCGTGTGGGCAGATTTCCATGCAACTGTAAGCACAGTGCAGCTTATTGTCGCCTCTTTCCTTCCTCGCCAAGCATCCGCCTTTGATACCCACTAGCGTGCCGTGAATAGACGAATGAATCTTTGATAAACGTCACTTTGCCATCGCTACTCTGCATAGTTGACCCACTTCAGTTCATGCCAATCTCGCTCGCATGCATGATCGTTGTATCAGGCAGCATCTACTATGCCAATTTCAATAACATCAGCATTCGACCGCAGTATTTGGTCGTCGCAACTGGCGGAAATTGAAACAGCATGCCTTCACCACTGATCTCTGGCATGGCATGCCACCACCAAGTCAAACGATTTGGCCTCACCCATTGCAACAACAACAACGGCAGCAGTCAGAAACACCTCCTCACCCGCCACTCATCCACCCGTCTCAGCAAGAGCTTCTGTTGGACTGCCTCTACCCGGACGGCTACAGGTGCGCACTACCCGTCTTGAGACCATAGTTGTGAAGGCGACGAAGC